AAATTTTCTGGATTCTTCCTGCGTTGATTGTTGAATCGAGCTGGCTAACATTTCGAATCATCTGTCCTTCTTCAGGTCCAGTTTCAGCGAAACTCTGAAGAAATCAACATGATGGTTGGCAAAAGGTCAGCGAGTTTGATTTATAAACAATCAATGCAGTAGGAATCCCGAAGATTATTAAGACAAAAATTTAGCATTTGCATTGAAAAAGAAGTATCGGATATGTAAATAAAAAACTAAATAATCCCGAACCACGTTCTTTGCTAAATTTTTTACTGCTCTTAAATATTTCGGAAAAATGCACTTAAATAAAAACCTCCGTTGGATGTTGAAAATAGCAAAAACAAAACGATGTTTGGAACTATAAAAAATAAAAGAGAACTAAACATAAAAAAAAGTAAAAAATAATACATTTTTCATTTAAACACTGATATGACGTGTCGAATTAAATCTGCAACATTTTTTTTGTTCGCATAAAATTATTTTATATAAATTCACACAAACGTTTTAACCAAGTGGGCTCTTATTTCTAGAGGGTTTTATAAGCGCCAGTACTTAAAACATTTTGCGCAAACAATTTTTCCCCCCATTTTAGTCATTTTAGTGGAAGCGAAAAGGGATTCGGTCAAAAAGTTATATAAAAAGGCTCCCTTAATTTCGTGTCCGATTTAGAAACCCCCATAATGCATTATCTAGCTGCCTTCATACAGACAATTTGAACTGTTTAATATTTACAGTGTTTGGTCTTGGACATGTCAAATTTTCCGTATCCCTGAAACACGACGAAGTTTAGCTTGATATATTGATCGAATATTCCGAATGATTAATAACAGTTTCTGAACCTAACTCAGCAGTTACGTTTTCGTGAAAATGACGTAGCAGTTTCACTTATACCAGTTCGTTTTGCAAATTAGGTTTATGAAATTCTTCTACGAATATTATTTAAAATTTTACATTTGAGTATATAAACATAAAGCATTAAATCAAGTAGACGTTCCTTTGCGGTACATTGGACAACTATTATTACATGTTTTCCGATGATGGTAAGCAGGCTATTGAAGACCACTTCTGTTTTTATTAATAAGAGATAATAGTTTTTATCAGTTGGTAGCTGGAAGCTTGAGCAAAATTTGGGGCATACCTTTAATTCGTTGATTTTGACTACAAAATTTCAAAAATCAACTCAAACAGTTTCGTGTCATTTTTCAAATATGAGAATGGTGTTCGTGCTAGCTATGCTATTTTGTATAGAAGACATCAGATTTTTGCAGATTATTAAAGAAGTTGAACGACAATTGGAAATCCCGTTTCCGATTTATTTCTAGTTAAAAGAACTTCGACCTTCTGTTGTCTTTATTTTTCATTCATTCGATTCTTCATTTTTATTCAGAAGGCTATTCGCGCATATGTACTATTTTAAGATGATCATCCGTGATCGAGTTGTGTGCAGTCGCCCATGAAGTTCTCCACTAGTTTTGGTCACAAAGACATCTAAAAACGGCAGATAGAAGTTTCTGTCTCCTTAATAAAAGTTATAGAGTCAGTAAGTGAATAAAAGGAGAGCAACTACCTATGGGTTCCATTCTGGATTATGAAAGTGCCGTTAACATTTTTTCCATAATCTGGAGGAATGCCACCATAAGCACCAGGACACCTTGAGCAATCACTTTAGTTTACTTAATTATTGATTAAAATTTACCACTGAGAGAGAAAAAAACTTAAATTTTAGAAGTCCCAGTGAGTACTCGTTCTGTCTGTTTGAAAATTGTCGGAAACCGAAGGCGAAAAATTGAAAAATCGAGTAAGTGAATTTTGCTACATCTAGTTCAGAAAGAGGTTTTTCCTGTTAAGAGACTCCAGTTACGGCCACCCTGTGCATCGACAACTAACACATACGGGACAATATGCAAGTTATCAGTCTAACCATTTTGAAGCACCCCAATTTGTAACGGTTCAAACATTATTGCAAACTATACAAGAGTGAAATTTATGATCATATTATTACACATTAACCAACCTCGTAGCTTCAATGATAAAGAAGTTAGTAATAGCGCAGTGTTTTGTTTACCTATAGGTTATAGACCACGCAGTATATACAAATTGGCTATTCTCGAATTTCCAATGAAAACCTAGCGTATAAGACGAAACTATTTCATTTTACGTTTCAAAATTCGTCTCTTTCAGTGTTTTCGCTGAACCGTGAAACTCGTATAAATCAGTGATCGTGTTTTTGTTTGATGCATTTCCAGAAACGGAATATAGAAACGCGATATTTCCAGAAAATTGATCCCCTACCGTGTCAACCTTTCCGTTAAAATAAGCGACGGCCCGTACCGAATTTATCGTATCGTTTAAAAGCGATTCGCGAAAAATGCGACGGCCATTTTTCCGGAATCTGGCTGGTTAAAGTGCAATTAAGGTGACAAATTAACGTCCCGTAATAAACGAGAAATACTGCCTTTATGGAATTCGCCGAACTTAAACCTTTCGGGGCAACCGGGTGGCACTAAGGACTCGGACGCAGAATATAATGGGTATTCCGTGCACAGTTAACATTTTAATTTGCTGTCCTGCAGATGCAGAGTTGATCCGCCAAGATGAACTGAGAACGCTTGACCATTTTTTGGATACGGTTGATAGCTAAATGGGTTGGATTTTAAAAATACTTTCTATATACATGATGAACTTAACAATTCCATAGGGCAAAAATGTATTAGGATAATGTTCCGCAACTACACTTGAAATTGAAAAATGGATAAGAGATAACAGTTATTCTAATAATGCTCTGTAATCAATTTGTTTAAATCATATTTTGTATGTCACAATTGTGACATAGAAAAATCACTACATTATTCAAATATCTATACTTAAACTATACAACATACATCCTCTCGATTTCTGCTGAGTTTTGACTGAATGTAGCTGACGTTTCACCAAACATGCGTCTGTCTACATTTAAATTTTAATAATAATCGATGACATTTTCAAACAAATTTAATGTAAGAACTTCTTTAAAATTCAATAGTGGATTGGATTATTTTACCTCATAACCTTTAGTATAAGATGTGTCAACGCAGCCAACCTCCAACCTATTACATTACTGTCCGTTAAAAACTAAATGTCATAAAAAATATGGTTCAAAGCCAAACGACAACTAACGAAGCCCGTTACTTAGCAGTAAGTTTACTACAAAAGAAAACATCACCGTATCTTAAGATATTTTCACATTAATTCTCAACCTTTCATCAATTTTCTTTCTAATATTAGACCTACAATAGAAAACATCACCATATTTTCACATTTATACCCAACCTTTCATTAATTTCGTTCATTTTCAGAAAATTCTCGCTTCCCGTTTTCTTCATAGATAGCGTCTATAATACAAGTACTTATGATTGAAAATTGATCCCCCAAACGATTTTTTCAAATTTTCATTTTAACAACATTTTTTTTATAATTAAAATTTTAAGCACTTTTAATTAAAAAATGGATTAAAGATCACCCGTAAGAGATAAATTTATGAAATTTTGAGCATCCATGGTCAAATGTCTTTACTTTAAAAATATATTAACGACTTAATATTATGTGTTTATTTTCGTATTATTAACTAACTTTTAAGTTAACAAATGAAAATTTCTTGGTAAAAAAAATCATGTTTTTTTCTTGGTAATTTAGTAAATTATTATTTTTAAATTTACTAGTCAACACTCCTTGTTTAGTAAACAAAAGAAAAACCGCTCCGTTAGGATTTTCATTTGTTTTTCGCGTATCCTAGTAAATAACAAAATCATTTTAGAAATCATTCCTGTCTATTCGTGACATAAGCATGAAATAATTATTAAAAATAATTATCAAAAATAAAATAGAAAATGATGTGTTGTTGAGTTGTTTTTTTAGTTAATATTTTAGTATTATAATTTTTAATTGTAATAATATTTTCTGTGATTTAAAATGCGCCGAATGAATTATGAAATTATGTGATTAAAAAATTAGTTTTAATTATTATTTAAATATTAATTTGCCAATTTAGTTAATCATAAAAATGATTTTGGTGTTGATACTGATTGGACTTTTTTCGCTACATCTCATGGCAAAGGAGCGTGTTTCAGAAAATGAAAAAGTATTTATTTAAAAAACAATCATAAGTTTTCTTTAAAAAAATAAAAATAAATGACGACAAATTTACAATTTAATTATTTAAGCTTGTTTGTTCTATTCAGTATGTTATGATTGTTAATATTATTTAAAAAAAATATATTAATAATAATTTTAATAAAATAACATAAATATTAATAAAATTTGTTTTATAATAATATTTGGTATTATTATTTTAAATTATCACTGATAAAACCTTCAATGCAGTTCGAGACGCTCGGCAGAGCGGCGCTTCCACAGCAATCGGCCCCCGGCGCGCTATCATAAATAAATTCATTTTGTCTAAACTAAGGACGAGCAGGGAATTTTCTTCCCAAAATCTTAAACTTAAATGCGTAAAGCATGTGACCGATAAAAAACATGTTTTTTTGCCAGAAAATCAGTGAAATTTTCATTTGTTAACTTAAAAGTTAGTTAATAATATGAAAATAAACAAATAATTTTAAATCGTTAATATATTCTTAAAGTATAGATATTTGACCATGGATGCTGAAAACTTCATAAATTAATCTCTTACGGCTGATTTTTAATTCATTTTTTAATTAAAAGTGCTTAAAATTTTCATTATAAAAAAAATGTTGTTAAAATCAAAATTGTAAAAAATCGTTTGAGGGATCAATTTTCCAAAAAAAAGTATAGATTAATTTTTTATGATGAAGTGGTAAATGGGGGGTCCACTTGACGTGATCAAAAATCAAGTAATTTTCTCATTGTTTTTTTTTTACCCAAGCAGATCAATTCAAAAAAAAATGTATTTTAAATTTACGCGTACTGAACTTACGTCAAAATTCTGAGATTATTTGTTTCGAAACGGATCGCAGTCAAAATAAAATAAACTGACAAACCTTCGGAAGTCAAAGATGACAGTCTTGGCGGCGGCGCCACTAAAAGCCAAAGCCCCAGCTAGGAGGGCCGTGTTGCAGGTGTAAATCCAAAGGCGGTAGTAGCGCATGGCCCTACCGCCCAGTCCGTAGGAGCCTGCTGCGGCTCCACTACCACCAGCTCTTCTAAGCGGCATTCGCCTACGCAGCCCCCCCTCAGTCGATCCGTCGCCCATTGCCCCCCATTCACCTGTAACACAGCTTTTTGTGAATTGGTTTGTCAAAATCCTCCCAATTTTTCGAATAATTTCAAAGTGTCTCTCCGATTTCAAAAATAAGAAAATTGGAGTTTTATCTATTGAGGTAGATGCTCGGTGTGGAAGAATCGACGGTATAGAATTGTGATGTATGGTAGTCTGACATACAGATACTGTGAACATAAATACGAGGGCAGCGCCAAAATTTCCCATCCTGAATATGAAAGAAACAAAGTAGAGTAACAATTTTTTATTATTTTTCAACATAATCCCCTTAACTTCAATAAACTTCTTACATCTCTATATTAACAACTCAATCCCTTTAAAAATATATTCTTTTGGTTTGTCTGCAAAATGAGCTAAAACGACCTCTTTTAACTCAACTTCGTCGTTAAAACCGCCGTTCACGTAAGTCCTTTTGCAAATATCCAAACAAATAATTGTCGCTGGGGGCCATATCTGGACTATAGGGAGGATGATCAATCTGTGGGAACCTTCATTCTAAAATGGCAGCTTGTGAAATACCAGCAGTATGGACAGGTGCATTATCGTGCAAAAGACGCCTCTGGTCAGTTTTCCTCGACGTTTTACACGTATGCAATCTCGCAATTTATGTAATAATTTTGCGTAATATTTACCATTGACAGTGGTATTAGTTTCTTTAAAATCTATCAAAAGAATTCCTTCAAAATCCCAAAAGATCGTGGCCATCACCTTTTTTGTTGATTGGCAGACTCTGAACTTTCTTGGAGGTGCTTCACCCTTACGACGCCACTCCATTGATTCTTTTTTCGATAGAGGGTCATAATAGAGAACCATAGTTTCATCTCCCGTCACAATAGTTCCAAAAAAGACCGCGCACACTCGACACGGCGTTGTTTTTGAATAGCCGAAAGGTTTTTAGGAACCCATCTTGCACGTCTTATTTAAAATGCTGTCAATAAAAAACTATTTGACGCAAGACATCATTTTTTTTTCGCAGTCTATTAAGATATATATTTAACAGAAGACAAAGTTTAATCGTTATACTGGAGCTGCATCTATGTCAGACCGGAAAATTTTGACGCTAACCTCGTATGTCATTTTCTTATGGGTCAACCAGTTGTAATCACAAACGTTGTGAAGAAAATATTGGTTATATAAGCCATGCTTATCGCATTATAATGAATCTTTAGAATGAAATGTTTAGCCCTTGTTAAATGCTATAGTGAATTTTGTCCTACTTTCCTAGCTTCAAGAGGATGTACTAGGATTAAAAAGGCGAAATATTTTTGAAAACTAACGAAATTATACAGTGTATTACGATGAATTTGTAAATGTATTTGGGTCCCGAGTGTAAACGGAGCAGTTTGGTTCTTGCTTCTTTAGATTCTTAAATATGTTTGACTGTATATGTTGGATTGTGCCTCTGCTTCCTACTCAAAAAATATATTTTAGCATATTTTGGAATATTTCTGCCCATAGATGTCGCCATATCTAGGGGCCTTTTACAATTAATTAATTTTTGAAATAAAAAAATTAAATAAGATAAATAGAATAGAAAGAAATACAAAAACAAATAAACAAAGAAATTAACTGAAGCCAAAAGATCTTTGAACTTCTATCATAAACTAATGGACAAATACGTGAAAGAAAAACGATATTTGTGAAAAAATTGTTCAAAAATAAAAAATAATATGAAATTTCCAAGTTCAAAAATACTGGCCCTTACTATATTTTGAGAAGACAACACAAATATAGTCAAACTTGTCAAAAGTGTGTCTTAAAAATGCACAAAAGCGAATGTTTGCGCCCTCAGCTCCAAACTCACAGTATATCATAACATCAAAAACTGCATCATACCAAATTTAAAGAAAGCAATTTTCCGAGCTACTTTTGTAGACTAAATAAATAATGAAATAATGTTAACCTAAAATGCGGGTTTGATGCAAACACAGTTTCGCAGATTAGAAGTCAACAACATTTTTACAACATTCAAACATTCAAAGCACTTAGTTTAATTTCACCGTTAAGATGTAAACTTAAAATAAAATTTACCGGAAGTACTAAATCGGCGCTGCCACGCGTGTCGTGTAGCACGCAGCTATTAAATCCCTTTATATTATTTGCTCCTGTTTTTACTACATAGTTTTCATTTCGTGGCTAGCAATATCGCAATGTCTCACGCCAACGCCCGCAGTTGACAAACGGAGCGTTTTTTATTTCAGGCAGATAACGGCAAAGTCGTTATTGATTTCGTATTTCATACAGGACAATTTTCTTGAGTGTTGTATTGAAGAATCCTATAAATTCAAAATATGTATTTGGAATATAGAAAATGTACATGGTAATTTACTTATTAAAATTTCATTTCAAATTTAATAGGCCAGGCCGCAATATCTATGAAGTTTAAAACTTACAACCCGTTTCCTATTGTAAAATTGCTGCATCAACAAAAATTGTGAACTATTCTCTGATCAAACTAACCAAAACCTAAAATTCAGGTACACCCATAATACGACCGTTCGTATTATTCCCTGTGGCTGCGGTTTTGCAGGAGTTTTTTAACAGATGACATAAAAAAGATTTTTTTCGTCTTTCGCGCACATTTTATACTAATGGGGATCGTTTTTTTTTTCTTAAACAGTTTAATACTGATGTAATAAGAGATTGTAAATGACGATTTATGAATTGTAAATTATGATTATTTATGTATGGTCTGTTCATAGATGTAAGAAAATGACCAATTGCTTTTCAATGGGATTATCCAAGGGTGGTCATTAACATACAATGCAACAAGATTATTACCTAAAGTTTCGGAATTTAAATTCAGGTAAAATTGTGGTCCGTAATAGAAAATAATTTTAGACCTACCTGTGTTTAATATTCATTGGTTTGGTATACTACTTAGTTTAAGTTTAATACAGCGTGTGTTGAATCATGTGTGAATTATGCAAAATATGTGCGAGTCTAGTGTATTCTATTGAGACTAAGGAAGTTATAAACAATGTTTATTTGACTCTCATTGAACGTGGTGCCAGCAAGCAAGCATCTTTAGAAGAAACGGTCACATTGACGAAAATTCCAACATCAACTGTATGGAAAATTGTGAATAATCCCATTTCAGCGAGGAAAAAAAGAAGAAATGCTGACATTTTCTCGAGTGTAGATGAAAGTGATCAAGATACAATACGGCGTAAAATTTACCAGTTATACGAGGAACAAAGCGTGCCTACATTAGATATCTTAATTAGGAGGCTTGAAAAAGATGAAATCGGTGTCAAATGTGGCAGAATTACCTTATGGAAGTGTATTCAACACATGGATTTTAGATTTAAAAAAATTGACAAAAGGCAAGTTTTAATGGAATCTTTTAGAATTCAGAACTGGCGACTGGAATATCTAGAAAAAATTAGGATTTACAGAGAACAACAAAGACCAATTATTTACTTGGATGAAACCTGGTTCGGCACTTATGATACCCCAGAAAAGGGTTGAGTTGACTCAAATCATAAGTGTAAAACAAACGCGCAATCAAAAAGAGGTAAAAGGATAACTATTTTGCATGCTGGCTCTAAAGATGGTTGGATTCCAAATGGACTTTCTCTTTCTGCCAAAAATATTAAAGATTTATTTGAAAGTTGGTTTAATAACAAACTAGTTCCAAATATTCCTCCTAAGAGCGCAATTGTAATGGACAATGCAAATTATCACAGTAGACAGTTGACTTAAACCCCTTCCTCATGTGACACAAAAGCAATAATCCCAAACTACATGTATAATAACGACATTTCTTTTCACGAAGATTATACCAAAAAGCAATTAATTGAGGTTCTACAAAACTTGAACCTAAAAAAGGAATACGTCTGTGATAATTAAGCAAAAAATCTAGGGCATGCAGTTTTAAGGCTTCCACCTTACCACTGTATATTTAATCCCATTGAACAAGTTTGGCACCAACTGAAATCTGCCATTCGTCGTAACAATATTTTTGCCCGTGTTAACTCCAATGTCCTCAAACTTATAGAAACCGAAGTTTTTAACATCCCTCCACAAAGTTGGGCAAATTCTGTTAAACATATAGAAAAAGCAGAACAATCGTATATCCATATTGCAAATAATATAGAACAAATAATTAGAACAGGCGATGATAGCGATAATAATGCTGATATATTAAGTGAATAATTTTAAGTAATTTATGTAGGTAATAAAATTAATTTGTAATTTTATTTTAGATTTAAACATAAATACATACATTAATAAATAAATATTGTCTAGCATCTTTCCTAACAAACAAAGTACGGACCTGTTCGGCCATATTTCATTCTTACAGCTTGCTCGGGTCTTTCCTTAATTCGTATCAGTTAGTCACTTTCTTATATCTATGAACAGACTTTACCTGTTTTTTGAGGCTCAATCTTTGGTTAGTGGGTTTGTGAAATCAATTTAATATTACGTTATGTGCCAAAAACTGACCTTTTTATTGCGATAAATAGTGTTACTGTTATTTGCTATAGTGGCATAGTGACCTATGCAGCCGATCGAGGAAATAATATGAAAAATAACTTTTCATTTACAAAATGTTCGTATTCTATTATTCGGCGATCGGCAACCAAATAAACTGCGAATGCAATCCATATTCGTGTATTCGGAGAAAGGCTATCATTCTACATAGATGCATTATTCAAAAATTGGCGTAACGAGAGTTGCAAAGTGTTTTGCATACGACTAAACTAGCAATATGCTATCGATCGAGAAACCGGAAAAACCCCGTGTTTGCGGAACTCGAACGTAAAATCTTTTTGAAAGCTTCTTTAAAAGTAAACCCAAAATCTACTTATAAAATTCTTTATGCACCAGCCGGAAAATGGACCTTATAACATAGATGCCACTGTATGACGATAAAAATAAGCTGGCTAACAATGAACCATGAATGGATTTCCAATCACCGCATTCCGTATCTGCTAAATATTTAATGCCACAAAACAATCGATAATTTGTTTGCTAAGATTACAAACCGCAATTGGTTTAAATATCTCTTAATTTAAAGCTAATCGCAACTAAATATACAATAATAATAACAAAAATTGTCATTTAGTTACTCAATTCTTAATTCGTTTGCTTTGAGCAGTTTTGTGTCTAGGAATATTTATTTTTCGAGAGGTGCAAACAAATATAATATTATCGTTACCATTATTCAGGACAGGTTGTATTTGGTTAGATTATAAAAAAAACACCTTCTCAAAAATTTTCTAAAATTAATTAATCTCAAAAATATGCCAATACAAGGTTGCAATTTTTCTAGAGGCTAGTCGTTTGAAAATTGTCGATAGCTTTTATAGTCTGGTTATTTTAATTTAATCGTTATAGGATTTTGTGCTAAGCGTTTAGGAATTTAAATTTATGATAAAAAGTTGCATATTTTACGTTAAAACGTTAATCATTAAGCGTATTTATTTATTATTCTAATGATTATGAATGATTATCTAATAATTATTAACATTACTGTAATTTTGTCCATACTTCTTAGAATATATACACCTCGTTTGCTTTGTAAACTAAAATATTAAAATTTAAAAAACTATTGTAAATTATCCTTAGCTTTTTTTCAAACGTCCAGGGTTGGTTAAATTGAAGTCTCTATATGGTGTCTTAAATTGATATTGACAGCTATATGCACGCCATACTTGCGCAGAAAAAATAGATAAGGCAACTATGAGCACGTATTTTTCCGAATCAGAAAATTTCAAAAATAAAAAGTTATCGGCATTTTTGTAAATAGCCGAAAATTGAAATATATAACATTATAATATATAAAAATTGAATATATAACATTTTTTCTAAAATAGTAAAGATCCACTCTACGTGCCTTGATATTGCAGCCTTTTGCAATATTCTCGTCTCAATGTAATCGTTTTTGAATTATGTTTAAATTATGATAAAAAAACTTTATGGGAAGGTTACGGATAATGCCAATAAACTCCAGAAATTGGAAGAAGATAATCAAGATAGTCGGGAAGCAGAGGGAGATGCGAAGCAGGTAAAAAACAAACATCAAAAGAATAGAAAAAATAAGGGCCAACGAAGTAAATCAGATACCCGCTGTATACCTAAAATTCAACAAAATTTATATCTAAAATTCAAATATAACCATATTTGAACTTATTATAAGACTTTTGGGGAAAATTCAAGCGAAAAGTTCAGAATTACATTAAACAGACATTTATTATATTTTTCTAACAGTAAAGACAAGTTTTTAACATTAAATAAATGGTGGATTATTTTTTAGCAGCAATTTCGATACACGAAAGTATGATCACAGAGACGAACCCACATAAAGCTCTCAAACTACACACACAGTGGATTCTGAGTGGCAGCCATGGGCTTTTTAGAGTCCTAGATACTCGTACACAATAGATCGTGCAAGCATATTCTAAAAATCCTTTTTTACGTACGTAAAGATTGAAAAGAAAACAATTTTACGCATCCAGACATTTCTCCTTCTAGGGAATAAAACCCAATTTTCTCCTTAAAGCACTTTACCATTCACACTTCGTTTTCCGCACGTACAAATGTTTATTAAATGAAGACTGCTGCTCCAAATGCGCGCCAAAAATACGAGAACCGAGAAATTACTTATTCCTTAAACGAGTGGAAACACGCAATTCGAGTTAAAAATTACCATTATTAATGACATTGTCAGCATTTGGGAGTTAATCAAAGACCGGATTCTTCGACTACGGTAATTCGGGAAAGTGTCGGAATTAATTGCAATTCCGTCGGGAAATATATTGCCGGAAATATGACCTGTGATTTCTTAAATATGACGAGGTTAATTGGTTCTTCTGAAGGACGGTTCAGTTAAATCGTAGCGTGGCCACCGATTTCAGTTTCCTGAGAGCAATTTATTACTCCAAAACAATTTCGTGAAGTTGATACTCGCGAACAATAATATTCAATAACAATGTCAGAATTATATCGATTAATACATAATGTAAGCTGGAGAGGTAGTATGGTATACAGCATTAATAAATTCCAGATAATTTCCTAAAATTTCCAGAAAAATTCCAACCAATTACAGAGGCATTCCAAAAAATTTTGTTTTGTTCATTTTGGCCTTCACAAAAAAAATATTTTCTCCAAAACTATTAACCCGATCTGCAAATTGCTCGAATAGAGAAACGCGGGAGATTCGGGCCAAAAACTTTTCTCTTGAGCATTTTTTCGTTTATATACATACTTTTTCTATTATGGACTAAAATCCAAAGGACCCTGAAAATTGTTCCTTTAGGGAGTAAATTAT